ATGCCCATACCAACACAGCCAGGCCTCCTTCTGAGAGAGAGACTTGCATTAGACCCTTACCACCGAAAAGATTAGAAAGTTAATACAAAATTACAAATGATCGTTGAGGTGCGTACCTAATCATAGGCCTTCAGGCGCTGGGGCTTTAAGAAACGCACCAAATATTGTAAGACTCGTGATAAAATGGCCAGGGTTGGCAACACTGCAAATGTCTCATCATTACCTTGCACTTCCTACATCTATAAATTGTGTCTAGGTGTTGTCTCTTGTCCTTAGAATGCAAGTTCTTTGGGGGCAGGGTCCATCTTTTTAGTTCTGTGGGCAGGGGACTGGACTCGATGACCTCTCAAGGTCCCTTCTAGTCCTAGTATTTTATGATTCTATGCAGCCTCTAGCAAATGGATCCCTCATTCTGGGGCCCCTATGTGCTAGTGAAATGCTAATAATATTTACACATTGCTCTTTACCCTAGAATATACACAGTCCTATTCCCCCATTCCACAGGCAGCTGGTTTTTTCAGCTCTATATTGGTTCGAAGCCGCTGCTGTGTTTCCAGCCAGCATGTTTCACATTCAAAACAATGAACAGCCCTGCAGCATGTTTTACATTGCTCCTCTTTCAGGATTTGTGTCACTTTGCATGGTCAGGCAATGAACTAACGGTTTCCTAATCAATTTCAAAACTAATCACCCTGATGCAATTTGAAGACTGATTAATAGATTTAGCCAGTGAATTCCATCTCAGTGTCATCACCAGCGTGAAACCATCGGGTGTCTCTTAGTGGCAAGCTGTTTGTGAATCGTCTTTTGCATCATCTTACTTGAGATTAGAACTCACTGCCTTTCTCTAGTTGCTTTCATCAGGAAGGCTCTCGCCATGCTTTACTAACGATGCACATTTGCTTCATCTGACACAGAAACACAACCCCCTCTAGGGTGGAATGTGATTCTGAGCTGGTGTAACAGCAGCACGTGGAACCAAACCTGGGACCTCTGGAGCTTAGTGCATGAGTCTCTACTCCATGAGCTCAAAGCCAGCCGGATGGTGGAGCAGACTCATTATTCTCTCTCTCTGTACATCATCTCAGTGCCACTAGAGGGGACAGTACCACACCCAGTAGGTGTGTGGGTTACACTGGTTTACAGGAAATGGTGCTTAAAACGTGAGAGACTTCCTGGACCCGACTGCCCTAAAGCTCACACCAATATTGCCACTGCTAGAGCTGAAGTAGAGTCATAGAATCATAGCACACTAGAAATGAAAGGGACCTCGAGAGGTCATCAAGTCCAGTCCCCTGCTCTCATGGCAGGACCAAGCACTATATAGATCATCTCTGATAGGTGTCTGTCTAACCTGCTCTTGTAATGGCGTGTCTAACCAGTGATGGAGATTCCACAACCTCCCTAGGCAATTTATTCCAGGGTTTAACCACCCTGACAGGTAGGAAGACTTTCCTAATGTCCAACCTAAACCCCCCATGCTGCAATTTAAGCCCATTGCTCCTTGTCCTATCATCAGATGCCAAGAAGAACAATTTTTCTCCCTCCTCCTTGTAACACCCTTTTAGATACTTGAAAACCGCTATCATGTCTCCCCCACCCCGTCTTCTCTTTTCTAAACTAAACAAGCCCAAGTCTTTCAGTATTTCTTCATAGCTCATGTTCTCTAGACCTTTCATCATTTTGGTTGCTCTTCTTTGAACCTTCTCCAATTTCTCCACATCTTTCTTGAAATGCAGTGCCCAGAACTGGACACAACACTCCAATTGAGGTCTAACCAGCGCAGAGTAGAGCGGAAGAATGACTTCTCATGTCTTGCTCACAACACTCCTGTTAATCCATCCCAGAATCACGTTTGCTTTTTTTGCAACAGTGTCACACTGTTGACTCATATTTAGCTTATGGTCCACTCTGCCCCCTAGATCCCTTTCTTTAGGACTCCTTCCTAGACAGTCACTTCCCATTCTGTGTGTGTGACTCTGATTGTTCTTTCCTAAGTGGAGCACTTTGCATTTGTCCTTATTAAACTTCATCCTATTTACCTCAGACCATTTCTCTGGTTTGTCCAGATCAGTTTGAATTATGGCCCTCTCCTCCAAAGCACTTGCAACCCCTCCCAGCTTGGGATCATCTGCAAACTTAATAAGCGTACTCTCTATGACAATATCTAAATCCACATAAGAACATAAGAATGGCCATACTGAGTCAGACTAAAGGTCCATCCAGCCCAGTACCCTGTCTGCTGACAGTGGCCAATGCCAGGTGCCCCAGAGGGAGCGAATTGAACCAGTAATGATCAAGTGATCTCTCTCCTGCCATCCATCTCCACCCTCTGACAAACAGAGGCTAGGGACACCATTCCTTGCTCATACTGGCTAATAGCCATTAAAGGACTTAACCTCCATGAATCTATCTAGTTCTCTTTTAAACCGTGTTATAGTCCTAGCCTTCACAACCTCCTCAGGCAAGGAGTTCCACAGATTGACTGTGCGCTGTGTGAAGAAAAACTTCCTTTTATTTGTTTTAAACCTGCTGCCCATTAGTTTCATTTGGTGACCCCTAGTTCTTATATTATGGGAACAAGTAAATAACTTTTCCTTATTCACTTTCTCCACACCACTCATGATTTTATAGACCTCTATCATACCTCCTCTTTTCCAAGCTGAAAAGTCCCAGTCTCTTTAATCTCTCTTCATATGGGACACGTTCCAAACCCCTAATCATTTTAGTTGCCCTTCTCTGAATCTTTTCTAATGGCAGTATATCTTTTTTGAGATGAGGAGACCACATGGCTGTGTCTAGACTGGCCAGTTTTTCTGGAAAATCAGCCGTTTTTCCGGAAAAACTTGCCTGTTGTCTACACTGGCTGCTTGAATTTCCGCAAAAGCACTGACTTTCTACTGTAAGAAATCAGTGCTTCTTGCAGAAATACTATTCTGTTCCCGTTCAGGCAAAAGTCCCTTCATCTAGGTTGTATTTCCCTAGTTTACTGATAAGAAGGTCATGCGAGATCGTATCAAATGCTTTACTGAAGTCTAGGTTATACCATGCCTACCACTTCTCCCTGATCCACAAGACTCATTATCCTATCAAAGAAAGCTATCAGATTGGTTTGACATGATTTGTTCTTTACAAATCCATGCTGGCTGTTACCTATCACCTTCTTATCTTTCAGATGTTTGCAGATTAATTCCTTAATTACCTGCTCATTATCTTCCCTGGCACAGAAGTTAAACTGACTGGTCCTGTTGTTCTTATTTCACTTTTTATAGATGGGCACTAGACTTGCCCTTTTCCAGTCTTCTGGAATCTCTCCCAACTTCCATGATTTTTCAAAGATGATAGCTAAAGGCTCAGACACCTCCTCTATCAGCTCCTTGACTATTCTAGGATGAACTTCATCAGGGCCTGGTGACTTTCAGACATTTAACTTTTCTAAGTAATTTTAGACTTGTTCTTTTTTTATTTTAACTTCTAAAGTGCCCCCATTTCCACTACCACTTACTATGTTAGGCATCCCGTCACCATCAATCTTCTTGACAAAAATGGAAACAAAGATTAGTGGGAACAATGGTGAGAAATTTTGGGACTCAGTGCAAATCAAGAATTCCATGTCCTATGTCCTGGGGAGGCAGAATATAATGAACTGTGTTGGAATTTGGCTAGGACACCAACATAAGAACGGCCGCACTGGATCGGATCAAAGGTCCATCTAGCCCACTATCCTGTCTTCTGACAGTGGCCAATGCCATGTTCCCCCCAGAGGGAATGAACAGAACAGGAAATCATCCAGGCCTGGTCTACACTACGGGATAAATTCGAATTAAGATACACAACTTCAGCTACGTTAATTGCGTAACTTAAGTCAAAGCATCCTAACTCAAATTTTGCACTATCCACACCGAGGAAAGCCAAAGGGAGCATGCTCTCCTTTCGACTTCCCTTACTCCTCATAGAAGCAGGAATACTGGCATTGAAGGGAGCACCCTCTCACTTCGAATTAGCATGTCTTCAGTAGACCAGCTAATTCAAACCCCGGAAGATCGATGGTAGCTGCTTCGAATTTCTCTGTAGACATGGCCCAAGTGATCCTACCCTGTCACCCATTCCCAGCTTCGGAAAAACAGAGGCTGGGGACGCCATTCCTACCCATCGTGGCTAATAGACACTAGTGGACCTAAGCGACATAAATCTATCTAGCTCTTTTTTGAACCCTATTAAAGTCCTAGTCTTCACCACATCCTCTGGCAAGGAGTTCCACAAGTTGACTGTGCACTGAGTGAAGAAAAACTTCCTTTTGTTTGTTTTAAACCTGCTGCCTATTAATTTCATTTGGTGACCCCTAGTTCTTATATAGTGGGAATAAGTAAATAACTTTTCCTTATTCGCTTTTTCCACACCAGTCATGATTTTATAGACCTCTCTCATAACCCCTCTTAGTCTCCTCTTTTTTGTTGCCCTTTTTGAACTTTTTCCAATGCCAAGATCTCTTTTTTGATATAAGGCAACCACATCTGTACACAGTATTCAAGATGCGGGCGTAGCATGGATTTATAGAGAGGCAGTAAGATATTCTCTGTCATTGTCTGTCCCTTTTTTAATGTACATGAGACGTAACACAGCCAATCCATTGCAAAAAAGGACCAGGTTGAGATCTGTAATGCGGGAACCAAGACATTGGTCAAGCGTCTCCTCAGAAAGACTGCAACCCTAGCAACAGCAATGCTCTATCTCCCGGCGAAGGACAGTCATCTCATTATTAACTCGGGGAGGGGGAAGCCATCTACTGAACCATCCACACAACCTCCAGCAGCGCAGTGTCTCCTAACTCTCCTCTGTGTCAGTGATGACTTAGACAGGAAGTCATAGCACGTCATCTTGTTCTGTGTTTGTACAGTACCTAGCATAATGGGGTGTGGTACCTACCTGGGGCCTCGAAGCACTACTGCAATATCATGCCCTACTGAATCACCAGGGCTCATGATCTGTCCCCTCCTTACCTGGCAGATTCTTTCCACTCCATTTCTTCCCCGTCGTGCTGCAGCGTGTCCATCTCAGTGAACAGGGTGGGGTTTGCAGGCTCGTCGTCTTCGCCCAGGATGTAGCGAAGGCGTTCAGCAGCTGGAGACACTAAAGCGAGGAGATAAAAGAGTTTCTTTTAACTCTGGGCAACTGGGAATGGGTCTCTACCCAATCCGGCTTGGGAATCGCGCCAGGAACCTTGTGAGAAATGGGATTTCTGGTCCACATCCTGGTTCTAGCCATAGATTCAGAGCTCAAGGTCAGAAGAGACCACTGGATCGTACTTCTCACCTCCTACAGAGCGCAGACCAACACCCGCACTCCAAGTCCAGCCGCCAGATTAAGACCAAAGCGCTACAGACTCCAGGAGAATAAACCATTATGCGCCACAGGTAGAGAACACAAGTGGCAGAGAACTGATTGAGTGAGATCTATCTATCCAGGCAAGAAATACAAAGAGGCTACGTCTACACTGGCATGAATTTCCGAAAATGCTTTTAACGGAAAAGTTTTCCGTTAAAGCATTTTCGGAAAAGCACATCTAGATTGGCAGGATGCTTTTCCGCAAAAGCCCTTTTTGCAGAAAAGCGTCCGTGGCCAATCTAGACGCGGTTTTCCGCAAAAAAGCCCCGATCGCCATTTTCGCAATCAGGGCTTTTTTGCGGAAAACAATACTATGCTGTCTACACTGGCCCTTTCGCGCAAAAGTCTTTCGGAAAAAGACTTTTGCCCGAATGGGAGCAGCATAGTATTTCCGGAAAAGCACTGATGATTTTACAGGAGATCGTCAGTGCTTTTCCGGAAATTCAAGCGGCCAGTGTAGACAGCTGGTAAGTTTTTCCGCAAAATCATCTGATTTTGCAGAAAAACTTGCCAGTCTAGACACAGCCAGAGTGTTTGGTTGTGATCATTTGGGGATTTCAAACTCAGTCCAAGAAACAAAGCAAGACAATGGAATTGGTTTCTCCAAAACGTTTTGTGGTTTGAGTTTTGGGTGGCGATTCAGATCAGTGATTTAATCAAACCTGGCCATCGGTTGGGGAAATGTTCTTGGATTTCGTTTCCGTTTTGTGCCTGCTGAAAATTTGACCTGGGAGACCTCGCTGGGAATATTGGGCAGTAGCGACTGCAGCAGCCTTCTTATTGGCCAAAAGCCCAACTGGAGTGGTTCACTTGTGAAGCCCAAGCAGCACCAGCCTGGCCGTAGGTTTTCTAGGAAAGACACTGGGAAGGCTAAGGGGGTATTTCTGATGGCAAACAAAGGTGATTCAGCATTTCCAGAGAAGCAAGATTAGTCAGCCCGTCCCACAAAGGTTGGAGCAACAGAAAGGAGGGTAGCGGTGGAGGAGGGGACAGGCATAGCTTAGCTCCTGACATGAAAAGGACATTTAGAGGACAATAAGCCGTTTGAGGGGACAACTCATTCAGAAACAAGAGGCCCATTGAGGAGCACGGGAGGCCAAGCTTCCTCACACAAAGAAGGTTTGAAATATAGAACAACTGGCAAAAATAATGAACAGAGGGAGCATGCTTGATGGTGCTAACCAGTGGTGCAGCCACCAGCTACAGTCAGAGGGTGAAACCCCGGCCCGTGTGAGTCAGCTCGTTGGACCTGCTGGGGGAGAAACGGGATACAACGCTGTACATACCCGCTGATGCTGTTTGTGTTTCCTGTCGGCTAGAGGGGGCAGGCAGGTTTCTGAGGCAGGAAGGATGAGAAAGGGTTCCCAAATGTCAGGGAGAAATTCTGGCTTTGCAGCAATGGCTGGCTCAGGGGACTTTGGCCCTCCAAGTCACCAGCTAGAATCCAGCCCCGACTGCCAGATACTCCCCATTTCCATCACTGCTGCCTGCTGGTCTACGTGACATAAATTCCCCTCTGTTCAGCACTGGTGAGGCCACATCTGGAGTGTTGCATCCAGTTTTGCCCTCCTCCCCCGCCACTACGGAAAGGTTATGAACAAATTGGAGAGAGTTCAGTGGAGGGCAGTGAAAATGTTTAGGAAGGGGGGCACATGACTTATGAGGAGAGGCTGAGGGGTTTGGGCTTATTTAGTCAGCAGAAGAGAATAGTGAGGGGGATTTGATAACAGCCTGCAGCTCCCTGCCAGTGGGTTCGAAAGAGGCTGTTCCCAGTGGTGGCGGATGGCAGAACAAGGAGCAATGGGCTCAAGTTTCAGTGGGGGAGGTCTAGGTTGGATATTAGGAAAACATATTTAGCTAGGGGAAGCACTGGGATGGGTTTGCTAGGGTAAAGGTGGAATCTCCATTCCTGGAAGTTTTTAAGTCCCAACTTGACAAAGCCCTGGCTGGGATGATTGAGTTGGGGTTGGTCCTGCTTTAGGCAGGGGGTTGGACTTGACTCCTGAGGTCTCTTTCAGCCCTGGGATTCTTTGATTCTATGAGTTGGGTGCAGTCCAGTCCCAGTCCATATCATAAAAAATGCCATCCTGTCACCTTAGTGGCTTGGGTGGAGAAGTCAAAACTCGACCGGGTGATGGAGACTGAACTCTCCCACCCCCAGGATGAGGCACAAGAAAGCCACAGCCTACTCTGTGCTGGGCCAGCTTTGCAGTTAAACAGGACATACGCGTCCACAGCTCTCAACCCAGCACCTTTTCTCAGCCCTGTAAGAAACGAGAAAGGCAGGTCTCTACCACAGGGAGAATTTTGTCGCCCTGTTTTCTATGCTTTGTTTCCCCCCACCCCCAGACACTGAGCTGAAACATGAGGCCGTTGCACAGACAAGACTTCCATTGATGCCATTCGGAGTTTTGCCGGAGGGAGCCCTGTACAAATTCTTGTTTCTGCCATGTGGGATTATCCATTCCCCTATCTTTCAGCCCTCAGATTTAAACCAGTTTCAGGACTCTCCTCTCTTCCTCTATTCTTGGGTTTTCATTTTCCTTCTCAGCATTTTCGCTCTCTCGGTCTCAGAAAGAAAGCGAAACTCTGCTGTCGAGAGAGAAATTTTCTTAGGAAGGTTGCACTCTTGCTCTCCTTCCGTCTCAGCGCCTCCCTTTCTTGCTTCCCTTACGGCTCAAGCCTCGGGAGCCAAGCCCACGGCTTCAGTCACAACAAATTAACTTTGTTTCCCCGTGAAGCGTGGCGGGGAGGAAAGAAACGCCGAGACAAGCACCGCGACTGAGCGGCTGCGTCAGAGTAAGCTTAGGCCTCTGGCTGGGGCGTGCGGACACAGTTCTCAGCAGCACAGAACATTTTTAATTACCGCTAGAGCCAGTTCATTCCCTTTGAATTGTTCCGCCTGAGTGGCTCTAATGCATTCCCTGTGGCTGTGTGAGGGGGGCAGGAAGGGGAAGAGAGCGACTTGTCCTGCTTGCTTCATCACTGAGCAAGCTGGATGGATTTTCTCTGAAATCTCCGTGTTCACATGCTTTTAGGTCTCTTGGCAGCATGCAACAGCCAGCTCTCTGCTAATCTCCCACACACCAGCAGTGGGTTCAGAACGGCTACTGTCGCCAGGGTAGGAGAAACACGGCCTAATGATCTGGCTACTGGGCTAGCAGCTACCATCTCCTCTGTTCTCGTAGCATCTCACCTCTGCAGCTAGCAATTCTTAGCATTTAAGACAAATGACAATCCATTATTATAACACAGCTTGATTTCCCACACAACACAGCCCAGGAAAGTCCTGAAGGGGCAGGGGTTTACCCATCCCCACTGGGTAAATGAACACCGCTGGGTCCATGATCAATAACAACATAGCAGTGCTTTGTGCCTCAGTTTCCCCACTTGAGTCATAGAGATAATGAGGCTGCTGTTCTCTGCGAAGAGCTTTGAGATCCACTGATGAACACGGCTAGATAAAAGCTCTGCATTGTGATTAGGATGTCTCCTACTACGCTAACGTTAGCTAAATTCCACTGGTGGTTGCAACAATCGGAGCACGGATGTTGACAAGATGTTTTTTTCTCACTGCTCAGAGCAGATCTAGACACTGGTTTACACTAGGCTTCCCTGTTCTCTGCGAAGAGCTTTGAGATCCACTGATGAACACGGCTAGATAAAAGCTCTGCATTGTGATTAGGATGTCTCCTACTACGCTAACGTTAGCTAAATTCCACTGGTGGTTGCAACAATCGGAGCACGGATGTTGACAAGATGTTTTTTTCTCACTGCTCAGAGCAGATCTAGACACTGGTTTACACTAGGCTTCCCCACCAATCATCGTAGGTGGTGGTAATAAAATTGCCATGCAGAAAAGGCCCTAGGAGCCGACATTCACAGTTCCAGGAGCAGCTGTCTGAGGAGTGCTTGCACAGGCAACCCTCATGGGACCTGTTCTCAGTCTCTAAGTCTGGAGCGGAGAACCTTTTTTGGGTTGGGAGCCACTGACTCCCATGAAAAAATCAGTCGGGGGCTGCAGAAAAGTGAGAAATAAAAAAAAAAACCCTCACTGATGTGACCCCCGACGGGGAAGCCGAAAGACACGCCCCACTTTCCCCTCGCACACCAGAGTCTGGGGGGGCCCAGGCTAGTAGATTCTGGGGACCCTCTGGGCTCTGGGGTGGGCCAAAAATGAGGGGTTCAGTGTGTAGAAGGGGAAGTGGGTTTGGGGTGTGGGATCTGGGAGGGAGGGAGGGTGCAGGAGTGGAGTGAGGGTGCGGGATCTGGGCAGTGGGGGGTGCTTACCTGACATAGCACCCCAGGGACACACGTGGCTCTGTGCTCCCAGGCACTGCCCCCTGCTGCTCCTATTGGCCATGATTATAGCCAATCAGAGAGGCGGGGGAAAAGCCTCTAGGCAGTGCTTTGCTGTGCTGACATTTCCTCAGCTGCGGGAAGTGGGGGGAAGCAGAAGTCCACAGAGCCACTTCCCCCCACCTCACTCCCCGCCAGGCAGAGCCTGTGGTTGGACCCGGCCCCAGCTTGCCTGACTCTGCCCAACGAGGCTTGGGGCTCCCCCACAATGGGGAGCCAGCACTGGAGCTCCAACCCCACAGGGGGCTGCAGCGCTGGAGCACCAGGGCAGACTCCTCAGTGCTATGGGGGGAGCCCTGAGCCTGAGGGGCCAGATCCAGGCAAGTTGAGGGCCAGATTCAGACCCCAGGCCGTAGGTTCCCTACCCCTGCTCTGAGCTATGAAAA